AACCGAATAGAACGCCGAGGTGGAGGCTGTTCAGTATAAAATAAACATTCACTTCCGACTACCCTTCTTCGGCACCCTAGACTGGATAATTTAGACGATTCTATCTGGTTTTCCATCTCTTGCTTTGACGTACCTCTCCACATTGGTTGCATGTATACCTCCCCAGGTAACTACAGTAGACTTGATTTTATCATCAATGCATTCAGCTACATAGCTGAGCTCCGCTCTAGCAAAATTATTGCTGGCGATTTTGTTGTACCTAAAATGTTTTAGTTCACGCTTTCTGTACCTTCTCAACTCCAAAGTTTCATTTCTGCCCTCCGACTTTATAACTAGACCCAGCACATACTATTCGCCAACAGGAAACTTGACCTAGTATTCTCATTAGGTCTGCGAAACCTATCCACCTCTGTCTGTAACCAGCTCCCTGGTAGCGATCATACAATTGTTTTTTGTAACTATTCCGTCTATTCTCTCCACACCCAATGCGAACCCGCTTCCACAAACCTTTGTCTCATCTTCTGGAAATGGATTCCTGGAATAATCCGTGTTTAACATTGGGATAACGTTTTACTACCTGATGATCTCCAATCCGCGGCTGATGAGCGCTACAATAAGATTATCCATTGCCTTAACTCCTCCTTTTCACCTTAAACCGCTGACCGTTTTCTCAGAATACCTAATTACCTGTCCAAGTTACAACAAAAACATCTTAGACTGCAGCGTTCTTACTCTGGCACAAACAACATGACTGTTTTTCTGTCCACATCGTCCCTTTTGCACCATAATTGGTAATACTGAGAACCAAATCATCGGAAGGAACTTATTGCAATCAATCGTCTTAACAACGCTCCCAAGTTCACCAAATTACTGCCGAAAAGCGCTTCTTATTTATCACATATTCCGTACATACTCAAAAATAACGCGTTTTTAGTTCATCTTCTGACATTGTTCACATATTTAATGACTTCTTTGCCTCTTCTCTCGTCCCTTAGTCTGATTCATCCCTCTCTTACCTCCCTACCTTCAGAAACAGTAGGCGTTCTACCATTGAATTTCACTTAGACATTATTCACAGATTGCGTCTTCAGTAAACCAACCTTCTATCGAGGGCGCGATGGTCTACCTTTTGCGTTTTTCCCACTTGTAAGGATTTATCTTGATTGACTTTTGCTTAAACCGTTTATTCTTCCAATGATTAAATCCATCTTTCCTACAGTATTAATTGATCTGGTAAAATCTTTCCACATTTCGTGAATTTCGCGTTTCATTCACCTAACATCATCCGCCTCATACATACATAGACATTTAATGTTCCACCTCCTTTGTATATTTGCACATCGATCCCATTATTTGACTTTGTTTGTTTTTCTGCTTCATTCCTACCCAAGCAGTTTTCATCGCGATCTGACCGCTCATCTTTGAATCGTTCAAGTGCAACGTGATGGTGAGCGTGATATTCTTATCCAGACTCATTTTCATCAGTTCAGATTTGTTAAAGTACGCTTACGGCAACACTGGGCTCTTGTTTTCAAGTTGTTCCCAGATCACTTGGAGGTTTCTACAGATTTTGTTTGCCTGTTCAATCGTTTAATAATGCAGCACCGTAGAAACTTGCTGGATTGTATGTTTTGTTGACCTTTTGGGAACCAATTTCGGCTAGGCGTTACTCGTTGATCTATTTGGGAGGCACAGTACTCAAATTCGTGCAACTTGGAACAAGAGAATGTCGTTCAAACAAGGATGAATCTAGGTGGCAGAACAGAAAGTAAGCCGTTAAGTCATTAGGAAATCGGGGGAAGTGGGGTTCTGATTATCACATTTGTCGTTCAGTTGGTCCCATCTGTGCTACAAGTTCACATGCCCTAGATTGTGATGCCATTTGAAATTTCTGATATACACCTCCGTAAAACTGTAGAGTTAGAGCAGGAGATTAGGTCAGTGAAAGTTAAGGAAGCAGAAGCTAGGCAACCTTCCTCGACTAAGCGCGCCGCGATCAAAACAAGACCTTCCCATTAGACTGACGCCAGAATTGGCTCAACCACCAATCGAAGTAATGTACCCGTCAATAAACCTGCCAAGGTGGAGCAAACGCCATTCACAACAACTACTGGAGATTCATTAGAAAATTTGATAATTTCGCCGCGTGTCGAGTCACCCACCTAGGGCATAAGTTCCTGTACCTAAAGCATAATTGCCGCGGGAAGGCCCGGGACGCTATTGAAGAATGTGTAATGCTACCAAACAAACTCCAGTATAGCCGGCAAGAAGCATTTTGAAGGAACTGTTTAGCCAATCGTTTCGCCTGGCACGGACCCTCATAGACGGGGTGCTGGCCGAGACCAGTAAAGCGAGAAACGAACCCGAATCGTTGGTGCAAATGATAATGGAGATGCGAAGTTGCCTCATTGCCCTGACTCAAATGAGTTAAGAAGCGTAGTTGAATGCACTACACACCCTAAAAGCGATAGTACGATACCTACCGGCTGACATACAGCAACGATGGGCGGAGAAGGTGGTGATTATCCGCCGTTTTGGGAGGGAACCGAATTTTACTGAGCTGACAGAATTCATACGAAACCGTTCCAAGTTCATTAGTAGTCACTTCGAACAGCTCGCTAGTATAATTAGGTGAGCAGAGAGACACCACACCAAGGAGCGAACCTACGATATCCCGAAAAGCTCTAGAAACGCAAACAACTATGCAACCGTTGGGGAACGTGGCGTTTTAAGATGCCGTATGTTTCGTTCGAATCAAAAGCTATCCGCATGTGAGGAATTTGTGTAACTGGAAGTTCCTGACCGCTGGAAAGCAGCCAAGAGGCGTGACGCGTGCTTTATCTGTTTGAGCGGCTCACATTGCGCGGATACTTGTAGAAACCGTAGCAAATACGGTGAAAAGGGGTATCAAGGAATCCACTATGCTCGTTGTATTCTATACGAGAAACGCAGTTACCGGCACCCAAAAACTATCGCAATCAACGGGCAGGCAGGTGCGTCCAGGGGTAACGCCATTTGGCAAACTAACTCCTAGGGGGATAATGAAGGCGATGACATTTATTGACAATGGATTCGATACCAATCTAATCCCTAAGCGTTTCGCGGTAAAGAACAATAGCGCAACCCTGAAGACCAGTACGATGAACGGTACCAAGACCACTGACGCCGATCAAAAGAGCGTGACGTTGGCGTCGCTAGATAGTGGTGAACGCGTAGAGATGATGGAGGCAGTCACCGTAGCTGACTGACGAAAACCACTATGGTACATACTCTTACATGTATTGTAACCTGTTATTCCACATTCGAAAATATACTAATCTCGTTTTCAGTTGACTCACTAGGCTCAATTTACGTATACATACTTCCTTGCAGTATCCCACTCTGCATGTTGCTTCGTGACATGCTCTGTTCCTCCTCAACCCTTCTCAGCTGGGTATTACCCCAGACAGCTGAGTTTCGCCTNCGCCTTTTTGTTCCAGATTTAGTTGGCCTGCGTCTGTCGAATGCTTGGGGTCTACACCCACAATCGACAATTTGGCTCTGGTAATGGTTGTTGTTAACGGCTATCTCCACCGTTCTGACTACATATGTCCACATTTCGGACCAGGTTGAAAACATTTCGGCAAAACTAGCCCCCTTACATACATAATCGACCAGAGGCTATAGTAGCTACAGTAGTAGTAGGATGGCAAATGTGGGGTAAAGCACTAATCTTAGTGGCCCAGCACATAGTACAATCACCAGGCGACCACCTGTTTCGTCGAGACGGCTTGGAAGAAGGTGAAGTTAGTCTGTATATATAGAAGCCCCTCAGCGGATCGGCTTCAGGACGAACAGTTCATCCAATAACTAGTCGGCTCGACCGCCCCAAACGTTTCAGTGCTGTTAAGGAGGGACCTAAACGCCCCAGAGGTGCAAGCTTTGGCACCCAGGAACACGTTCGGGCCACGACTGCTTGACTGGGTACAAGACGGTTCTCTGGTACAACATTTCGACCAACCCCCAAGACGGAGGTCGAGGCAGGAGCCAGGACTGCTGGACCTCTTATTGACACGATATCCGTACGAGGTGGAGCATCTCGCGGTTGAGCCACCGCTGGGGAGGAGTGACCACGGAGTGATCCACTTCCGATATGTACTCAGCATACCTAAAGCGCCCCATAAGATGCGTCTAGTGTTTAGACGTATCGGCCATGAGTCCCCAGTAGAGGCAGCCTTAAATCGAGAGTGGCAAGGGGAATACGAGACGGTAGAAGAGGAACGGTGGGCCTTCAAGGCAAATGTGCTGCACCTCACCGAGCGTTTTGCACCGCTGCGCAGGATCAGGAGACGAGGGATCCAACCATGGTGGAAAAGCCGGGCCAAGAGAGCACAATCCACGAAACATAGAACCTGGAACAGCTATAGAAACTCAAGGAGCCACTCGAGTTTCTTTCAATACCTTAGGGCCCTTGAGGTTGCTTTGAGGGTCCAGAGTGACTGCCGCCGTAAGTATGAAATGGGTCTGGCCGATAGAGCCAAGCAGTGTCCCAAAGGTTACTGCTACTACAAATACGTCCAGTCAACGGCCGCTACGAAAACGGCCGTTGGGAACCTAGTGACTGCGGATGGTGGGCTTGCTGTGAGTAGCAATGAAAAGGCCGAGGCGCTCCGGGTAGCCTTCAAGAGGGTTTACCAGAGAGACAGAGGGTTGAGAGGTCCCTACCCTAGTACCGGCTGATGTACCACAGATGGCCAACCCGCCTATCACCAGACTAGAGGTAGAAAAAATCCTAGGCACACTAAACACCGAAAAGGCTGCCGGTTTAGACGGTATACATGCATCAATATTGAAACCTATTGCAGGGGTAGTTGCTGAACCGTCAGCTCGGCTTTTCAACCGGTCGATCACTACAGCAACGCTACCTTCAAACTGGAAACAAGCCGAAGTCATCCCGATTCACACGGGAGGTACCAAAGAAGAGGCCTCAAACTACCGCGCAGTAAGCCTTTTATCCCTACCACTCAAGGTCCTGAATAATGTACTTCGGGGTCGGCTGAGCTCGCATGTAGCAGAGCATGGCTTACTTGCTGTGGGCCAGCATGGATCCACGGAAAGAAGGACCTGCCTCACAAATCTTTTATCCTTCCTTGATGAAGTCACGGGCAGAATCGATCGGGGTTAGACAACTGAGGTGCGTTACATGGACTTCCAAAAGGCCTTCGGCTCAATTATCCACCCTTACCTCCTAGCTAAGATGAGAGCGCTCAAAATAAACGAGGGGATCCTACAATAGACTGCTGCCGACTTAAGTAACCGATCCTTGTACGTTAAGGTGGATGAAGAGAGATTTAGGCAAGCAGGCGTCTCCATTGGGTTGCCGCAGGGTTCAGTTCTGGGGCCGCTTCTGTTCCTGATCTACGTTAACGACGTGGCTGGCGATCTTGCATCTCCGATGTTCATCTTTGCAGATGATCTCAAACTAATAGGTAGGCCGGAAGGTAGCGAAATGCAGGAGGACCTAAGTAGTATATACAAATGGGCGACCGAATGGGAGCTCCCAATAAACCCAGATAAGTGCAGTCACTTAACGAACACACGGATTTCGGTGAACCGCCACATGAATCCCGAGAATCCCAGGTTAGTCCCACAAGTAGAAGAAGTGATGTACCTAGGAGTCCTAGTTACCCAGCACTTCAGGTCTTCCGAGCAATGCCGAATTTCAGCCACCAAGACCAACAGAGCACTGTACCACTTGCTGCGCACAGTTGCTTTAAGGGAGGCCAGAGTAGCAGTGCCTTTGTACAAGGTATTTGTGAGACCTCACTTGGAGTATTGCGTCTAGGCATGGATGCCAGCACTGGTTCGAGACACCCAGCTACTAGAGGGTATACAGCGCCGTTTCACGAAACTCATCGTTGGTCTTGGGAACCTGAGCTATGGCCAGAGGCTTCGGACGCTGAAGCAGTTCTCCCTCAAAAAAGGAGGACGAGAGGGGATCTGGTGGAGACCTTTAAACTAATAAAGGGTTTCACGACAACGAATAAACCTCTCTTTAGCCTGAGTGGGACCCCAGCACTGAGAGGGCACGCATGAAAGCTGGACAAACCCATAGCGAGTACGACTACCAGAGAACAATTTTTCTCGTGCAAGGTGATTAACGCCTTGAACAAGCTACCTACGGATGTGGTAGCGGCAGAATCAGTTGCCCTCTTCAATCTCCGACTCAACCAGTGTTGGGAGGAAGTGTTTCCGGAGGATCCCTATCCTTAGGAGTGCCCTCAGGCTACATATCTCATTGTTTGTTCTATTTCGTCCTGCGTTACTCCATTAACTCTTAAATCCTCACATTTTAAAAGTGCTCTATTTCTGATTTCATACTGGAGTAAAACTACTCTTTTAACCTGCCCGAGACCCTGCTGGAGGAATTGACGACGAGGGGGAGTGTGCGACGTCGGATAAGTGGCATGAACCTGCACAACTCCGAATGATTGGTCTTCCTGTCAGAGTATACGGGCTGCCAACCTTACTCTTTCGCAGACAAATAACGATAACGAATGCATGCCAAACGCTGTCGAAGCACTGTGATAAGACGATCGCAGCTCATCCGTGCAAGAAACTGGACGGTGCCTGGCCTCAGCCGCACGTCCTGGAACCCAACTTGGCCTGGCCTCACGACACTCACTAGTTCACAGATTATAATTGCGACCAGCCAGTTTCTCGACTCAGTCTCTGCTGAGGTAATGAAACGCTTGCAAAATGCAAGGAATGCTGTGGTTTTTAACGTGCCTGACCGCCTAAACCTTTCTCAGGTGAAAATTAAAATCCTACAATCCGCAAGCACGTAACATGTTTCCTGTAATTGCATCAGGCTGCTAAAAAGAAAGCAGAAATAAGCTTGTTCCCTGTTTTTTCAATTGCAGTATGAAAAAGTAGCTAAGGAATTCATCCAAAAACACCCTACTATAGCGAATTCATTCTAGTTTAAATCAAAAATGATTCAACCCGACAAGACCCCACTGCAAAGGGTGATCGCAAGATCATCTAATAACTATCCCTTGGAGTATAAGAGTTCAGAATGCTCATCGTTTACTCCCAGACTAAGAAACCTAATTCCCAATTTGTACCAACGTCAGTCACCAATCAAAAGAACACCGGTTACTACAGTTGACTCGGATAAAACGATTTAACCCTCACCAGTGCATCCTCCTAGCAAACGCCAGTACCTTCCAGCCAGACCCACTGA